TCTTTTTGTTAAATTTTCTTCAAGGATACACAAACAATTTATCAATTCATTATTCCAAAATATTCTGTCATAAGTGACCAATTGTGGGGAAAACAGAACGAATCTGTTATTAAAAAAAAAAATAAACAAAGAAGTCTAAACATAGGTAACAATAACTACAGCTAAAAATGGAACAATGGAACCAAGTGATAGGTATAAAACGCCAATCCACTGTTCTTGGGACACAATATGACAAATGATATCATTAATGTCCAGAGTTAAACCGTAGTTAGTAACAGTTAGTAACAAAAATAGACTCTATTACACAAATGTTCAAGCTTTATAATTCCCAACAGACTTCAGAAATCCCTTAACACTCAACATTCAAATCTCCCTGAGTCTGCTCAGCTACCTCTCTCTCCACACTCCATGCCTCCTCTCCTTTTTTTGACCTGCTTTTCTCCTCACACTTCTGTCTGCCCTCATATCCTCAGGGTTTCCTTTTTTGCCATTTCTCATCTTTCCACTTAGACTGGATTTTGGGGGGGATTATCATTAATACTCAGGTGGTAAGCCACACAATATTATCTATCCAAACTTGTGGTAGATCACCCAAATACAAAATTAAGGGGCAATGATCAGATAAAACACAACTAGCAACAAAAAAGTCTTAACAGAGCCCCAGATACATGGAAATATCACACCAAAATCAATAATCAAACTACCCAAACTAGATACAAACATATAATTGTCTTTAACATCCTTTCTTAAAATGATTAAATTTTAGTCAACACTATTCAAGCAGTTTCCAACCTCTACTATTCACAACAACATCCTTAGATGATCTGTGACTCCTATCAAAATCAATACAAAAAGTGAAATAAATACATGTAGGGATAACATTTCTGTTACCCATACACTCATTAAAATCACCCAAAATAATCAAATTAAACTACAGTAAGACCCGCTTAATGTGTTTCAGTATTACGCGGTAGTATTGGAATTTTCCGAGATTGCACACAGTGTTGCAATTCCCCGAACGCATGTTTGCTGCGTCACAGTTGATTTATGATCGGTCATCAACTTTATTTTGTGTATAAAGATATAAACATATTATTTTATTTTATTGTGATAAATACGGCATTTTTTAGTTTTTACAATGGGTGATTGCAAAGAAAAAGAAAGTAAAGTGACAAGAAAAAGCATTTTGCTGGAAACTAAAATGCAGGTGCTCAGACGATTAGATGCAGGTGAACAGCAATCTGATATCGGCACTGCATTAAATTTGTCAACTTCAACAATACAGACAATTTTAAAAAATAAAGAAAAAATTGTATCATCAGCAACTACAACCACAACGACTTTGGCAACAAAAATTACCTGTACCAGAAGCAATGTGTTTGAGGAAATTCAATGTGTTTGAGGAAACACAAATTCTGGAGGGGGAAAATTTCAGTACTCAATATAGGCTAGTATACTATTCACACCAATTAATATTAATTGGTAATTAAAACTCACTGTGTTTAGCGTTACTAATCGTTTTTTCACTCGTTCAAGCACTTTCGACGAATATATTTCCGTTGTCTTCAGGCGAATAGAATGTTTTAATCGAACATGACTGTTCAAGAGAAGAACACATATAAATTTAAAATTAAATAATTTTTTGATATGAGTCTGCTACGATTTGAATTGTGTGTGACGTTTCGAATATGACGAAATACGGCGCATGCGTGGTAGTGCTTCCTGTCAGTGCCGTGACATGTGATGTAACTCGCCATTTAATTGTTTGTATAAGGCAATCCATATATTAGGCAGCTCCAGAGTAGGCGTGTTGCATGTTTCAAGTGTTGTTATATATATTGACTCCCATATAAAGAGTAGTCTTCAGTCATTGCATGTCCTGAGTATAGTGGAGTGGGTCCATAATGGGTCGTAATTCATGTCGCATACCCTTCTTGCCAGTTCAGTGCTGCATCTTCTTTTTGTTATATCATCCTGGTGTTCAGTCAGGCAGGTTGCCAACATTCTTGCTGTGGCCCCAATGTATTTCATGCTATTCCCTGTTACGGGATTTTCTAATGGAACCGCATAAATTCCTGATTTCTCAAGGGTGGAAAACTTGTCTCGGTCATTGCAGAGCAGTCTGCGCAAGTTAGGTAACAGAGCAAGGGGCAGGAGTAGACCATGTTGTTTAAATATGCGGCATATGCGTAGAGAAAGTGGACCGAGGTATGGAAAGGCCGGTTGTACGGGTATAACTTCCCTCCTACTAGTTAACTTAGAGATTGGGAACAGCGTCTCTTGACCTTGTTGAGTACATGTGTGTACTTAGCATGTGAGAAACCCACTGCACGTACTGCTAAACTAATATTGTTTAACTCGCTGTTTATGAGATCCTGTGTCAATGGGAGCAAAAACGCTCTTCTTAGTAGGACGGCTATGGTGGCATCCACATAATGTGCAGGTTGAAATGCATTTGCCGGGATGATGTATGGCCCCTGAGGTTTCCATACATCATCCCGGCAAAATATCATCCTCGTTCGAGCGCTTTTGACGGAAATATATTCGTCAAAAGCGCTCGAACGAGTGAAAAAACGATTAGTAACGCTAAACACAGTGAGTTTTAATTACCAATTAATATTATTTGGCATGAATAGCATACTAGCCTATATTGAGTACTAAAATTTTCCCCCTCCAGAATTTGTGTTTGACTTCTGAATTGTTTGAGTTAGAAACAGTTCAAATATCAAAATATTACTGTATTTCATTTGTCATTTTTATGAATGATTACTTACCTATGGTTGATAGTAAAACTTTTTCTTCCTTGTCCTAACTTTCCTATCAGTTTTCATTAACGTAAACCTGATCACAAGCACAAAACAAATTGAAAATTTTATTAATACTCTAAAATCCATGGACAAATTGAGACAAAAAGCATGCTTACTTGAATTAAAAAAATATTGAATAATGGAGTTTGCACTTAAGAATTGTAAAATTTTGTGTGGTGGATTTCCACAGTTTTCAAACCTGATTAGAGCAAAACCATGTTGTATTGATAGAAATGCTGTGTTATACAAGAGATACCTGTAATTAAAGTTTAAAAAAATTCTGATTTTTTTTTTTAATATTAAGAATAACTAACATTTTCATTTTAATATTCGGGTCTATATACTTATAAATTATACTATAATAGCAAATATTAGCAAAACTTTATTTAATTTGATTAATAATTTAAGTAAAATTGTGTTAATTTAAGTGTTACAATAACTTTTACAAGGAAAACATATGGTTATGACTGACAATGGTATTGCTCATGTGAAATTTTAACCAAAACTTACATCAAATGGACATAAAGAAAAAGGTAAATCTGTTAATAAGTTTGAAAATTAAAAGAGAGTAAAAAGAAAGTGTGGTTGGCAGCACTTTTTTTTAAGAATAGGGGAGACATGATTTAACTACATCTTAGACAAAATAAAGAACTGAAAAATTTGAGATTGGGTATTTTTTTTTTCTTTCTTTGTTTTGTTCTCCTTGGATTACCAGTCTCTGAAAATCTTGGTGATGACCTTTTCAATATAATACAATATTGAAAAAAGTGCTGCCTAAGACCAGCCAATAAAAGTAGAGAGATATAAAAAGAAAGCCTGGAAGTAGCTTGTTATAAGAACAAAGGAATTGAAGACAATAGAAGTGAATTGAAAGTTTAAGAAATAACAGAAAAATAAATGAAAAGTATAAAAATTGCTTGTTCAAGCCACAAAACCTCCAATGTTTTGTTTTCAATTGTTTTGAAAATTTTATTACTCTGTAATATAAGCTAATAATTGTATAATAATAAGTTTTTTCTAGCTTATATAATAGTTTAATTATTATTATTTTTATTGATACATTGATGTTATTAGTAGAAAAAAATTGAAAAATCAAGTATGTACCATAATTCATTCTGAGTTCTGAAAAAAGGTGGAGAGTATTTTTATATTCAAAAAAATTGTGATACTTAAATTATAACATATGATGATGCAGATTTGATGTTTTATAACAGAAAATTTTAATAAATTCAATAAATAATATATATATATATATATATATATGTATATATACACTNGTGGAAACAATACTAATATTTATAGAAGAAAATTAATATTTTAATCTTTTCAAATTCAAAATAGGTGAAAATTACATTGATATATATTTATAATTCTTTCAAAGTAAAACAAAGAGCAATTTTCAGATTGTATATTCTTTTGATTAAAAAAAATCAGTGTAGTCATATTTCTTTCATTTATTATTAAATGTTTTTTCAATTGAAATATATAATTATTTAATTTTAATTAATATTGTAATTATTCAAAATTCTTCTTAACATGAGTTTTATATTCAAAACTATTGTTTAAAATGTTAAATAATATAATAATAATACAAAAAATATAGAAAAAAGTTATGTCATAGTATAATCTTCAATAACAAAATTTTTCCAGTTCATGGCATATTTGTAAGAAATTATAATAGATTCTTGTAATTACTTCTTGACTTACAATGATATTTTCTTTACATTACAATAATAAAAAAATTATCATAAACATAATTATTATAACAAACTAAATTGTTGAGTAATGACATAATTCAGATGAATTCAATAAAAGATCTAATGTTGCATGGAAAACAAAATCATTGCTAAAGAAATTTGTTCAAATCGTTTATAGCTTTTGAACAACAGTATTGACATAGTTAGGATTTCATTGAACAAGGTTTAATCCAAAAGTGAATAATTAAGATTGAGCATTTTATTTGCAGAGATCTGTAACTTCAGAACATTTCTGTTTTAATAAACCTGAATAAAGTAAGCAAATAATTGCTTTATATAGAACAACACAAAACAGAAAATTCAAATGTTTTCAAAAACTCTCCCTTCATCCCTTTCATTATCAGAATTTGCATATAATCTAATCAACAATGCTCCTTCATTTGCTGAGATAATCTCTGCTTCAGTTGTGGAGGTTGCCACTACTTTTTGTAATTGGCTAGTCCATGATATAGTTCCACCTTAAAACTTTGCAATGATTCCAGTTATTGAACATCTTATTTTTTTTGTCACCAGCAAAATCAGCATTGTTGTAGACTTTCAATTTTTCTTCTTTATTATAAATGATGCCCCAGTTCATATCTTTCAAGTACCAAAATATACATTTTACCTGATTCCAATTTTGAACAGTTGGTTTCTCTATCACTCGAGCAGCTTTATTCACTGCAAAGGCAATATCTGGATGAGACACTGTTGCAAGATAAATGAGACAGCCCACTAGCTCATCAAGATCACTTTCTTCACAGCCAACAGGGCTTGAGACTGCATCTGATTCAGCCATTTGGAATATTTCTAATATTCTTTTTGTGTAATTTTCTTGACTTATTGTAATTGATCCATCTTCATATTGTTTTATTTTCATGCCATTCCATGCCACCAAGAATACTGTCGAGAGATCCCATTGTCATATTGAATTCTTGTTGCAGAGCTCTCAAAAAATAAGCAGTCTCTTTCCTGTTGCTGCTGACAATCAGACCATCATCTACATAAATTGTAATGGAGAGTCAATTTTTGTTATGGTTTAGATAAAAAAGACAATGATCTGCAATACTGTTTTGAAAACTTGCTTTTCCCATAAATCCGATGAATCATTTATTCCAGTAATGTGGTGTCTGTTTAAGCCCATAGACTTTTTTCAGGAGACATACCCAATTGGTACCATCATCAAAACCCTCTGGTTGTTCCAAATACACTTTATCTTCAAGTATGCCATTCAGAAAAGCTGTCTTTACATCAAACTGTTCCAACTGCATATTCTTTGCAGCTGCTACCACTAACAAGGTCCAAATGGTGTCATAACATGCAACCGGACTAAATGTTTCCTTGTAGTCAATTCCTGATTTTTGGACATAACCTTTTGCAATTAACCAAGCTTTAAATCAAGTGCTTCAATCATTTGTAGTTTACTTGTACAGAACCCAACAGTTTTTCAAAACTTGTGCATCCATCAGATAAAAAAAAAACAATAATTGGAGGTTAGTTGACTTTTAGAGATTTCATTTCTTCATAAATGGCTTGCATCCATAACTCTCATTCAATTGCAATGCTTCAGAAAATGAGTTTGGATCTTTGATTCCCCAGCAACAACTCCTGTCATCATTAAGAATTCATTGCTTTCCATTCAGGATGGTTTACCTTGCTATCTCTTGCTTCTCCAGTTTCCTTTGTCAGAAGTTTCAGTAATTTGTTTTGATAAAAGTTCAATTGATTCTTCTCTTTTATCACATTCACTCCAATTTTTGCTTCCTCCAGAAGACGCCGTGATAAATTCTTCGGTTTTGATTTGATTTTCTCTGTTTTGGCACCTGACTTCCTCCAGTTCATTCCTTCACCTCAGACAATGAATTGGACCAACTCAATGTTAGAAGCTACTCTTGAGGAAAGTCAAATTCCACAGTATCACTGTGCCGATTGCAGACAACTTCTGCTTTGAATTTCACATCATGACTCATAACCATTTTCCTTTTAGAAGGAATCCAAACTCAAAATCCATCCTTATTGTTAACATACATGGTGTGTTCAAAACGTATCGGACCTTTGGTTGGCAAAAATAAATTTATTGACTTTGAGGTACAAAACCCTAATCCCCTTCAAAGTAGTCTCCTTGGTAATGTATACACTTTTCCCAGTATTCCTGCCATTGCTGGAAACACTGTTGGAACGCATCTTTTGGAATGGCCATCAGCCGGTCCATCGGATTCCGCACGATGTCTTCTCTCGACTAAATTCCTTTTAGCGGCATTTTCAGCTTGGGAAATAGCCAAAGGTCACACGGAGCCATGTGGGGAGAGCAAGGAGCGTGACGAACCACAGGAGTATTGTGTTTGGCGATGAATGGGCTGATGCATTATCACGATGGAGCTGCCAAGTTTTGATCGACCACAGATCCGGTTGTTTGCATCGCACAGCATCGGAAAGATGACGAAGGACCTCCTGGTAGTACTCCTTTGCGATGGTTTGGCCTTGTGGTTTGTACTCATGACACACCACCCCATGAGAGTCGAAAAAACTGTCAACATGACCTTTGATATTGCCACGGACCTGCCGTGCTTTTTTTGGCCTCGAGGATCGTCCCCGAAAGCCTGCTGAATCTTGCGAATGGTTTACACTCGGGTATCGCCAAGGTTTTTTGGCAAAATTTGATGTAATATCGCTGCTCACGTTGTTCAGTCATTTTCCAGCTTAGTGGAATCCGACGAGAGCGCACTACATGACCTCACTCATAGGCCGATTGCCAACGACTGACACTTCCTGCAGGCGGGAAAAAATTCAGGGCTGTGCATGACTGTCCCCTCCACAACTCCACCGAAGGAGGCCTCTCGTGCATCATTGGTTTACGCGGAAAAAAAAAAGGTCCGATACTTTTTGAACAGACCACGTACCCAACCATCTGTCCAAAAATAGCTTTATTGTCAAACTTTGATTGAAATTTCTTGCTTACATTAGCATCCAGTGCCAAAAATTCAAAGATGATCAAGTCTTCCTACTGGTCGACCATACCATAATTCATAAGGGGCTTTGTTCTAACTGAAGATTTTCCAGCACAATTCAAAAGATATACGGCAGTGTTGCATGCTTCTGCCCATGATCCTTTCGGTAATTTGCTTGGATTCAACATAGAATGTGCTGTTTCCACAATGGTACAATTTTTACATTCAGCTGCATCATTTTGCTCAGGTATATAAGGTGGAAGAATCCATTGTTCTATCCCTCTGTTTGTGAGCAATTCAGCAACTCTTTTGTTGACAAACTCTGCACCTCCATCACATCTAAATTGTTTGACATGTCCATTTGTTCTAGCTTCTTTTAAAAATTGCTCAAGCACATCATATACTTTGCTTTTTCCTGTTTCAAAAAGAAAATTTGTTAAAACTTGCTGAAGCCATCCTTGAAACATATTGTGGGGGTACAAAATATCGTGTGAATGAATCAAGACGATAAAATATAAGTGCTCAACCAGGGGATAAATTTATAACAAGCGTGCTTGGTGGAAACAAACGCTTATTAAGGGGAATCCACTGGACTCAATAGGGACTAGACAAGACAACCATTGAATTCTATAACAATATTTCTTTAATATACTTGGGAGAATACAGTACTCCCAAGATAAAGATGAGACACAAGAATACAGAGTCCGACAAATCTAGTATATCGCGAATCGATGACAAAAATCTCCCGACAATAAATTGCTCAAGCTGACGTAACAAGAATACATGGAAACATATCGACATAAATAGGGCTTCGACAATCTTTTCTTGTCTTCCACTCCAGGTAGGAAAAAGTTTCATAGTTCTAAAAATCTCTACGGACTTGCTTGCACAGGCTCTATATCTTCATTCCTGCACTTCACTCCACTATCCTTACTCATCTCCCGTTTTCTCCACTCTCTGCTTCCCTTCACCCCTCTCCCTGAGACACACCCTGTCCATAAAACACTCACCCCTCGGTCACACACCCCTGAATTACATAACTCCTCTCCACTGACTGTGAGTTAGACCCACCACGTGGCGAAGGGGGGCAAGAACAGATGTAAGGCACAATATGTAGTAAAGTGTCCCTCCTAAAGAATTGGTGGACATCTGCATAGATCAATTTGCCAGTAACTGTTGGACAATTTATTTTGTTTGAGCAATGTATGTATTTGGTGTACTGTACTTGAATGCAGTGCTAGAATGTATACTCAACAAAATGCATCATTATCATACATTATTGGAAATCTATTGGATATTCTATGAACATAAGTCAAATTCACACTCACTTGTCTGATTAGAACATATACAGTGAGATCATAAATATCTAATATGTATTGCTCCTAGGATTAACTTTTTTATTATTTTTATCACTTCACGAAAGTCTACTGATACTATTAGATAATATTTAGCTTATACACTTTCCTCTTTCATAAAAACCAAAGATATGGAATTACATTTTTGTAGATTTTATAACAGATATTAAAAAGTTAGTGCTCTCTTATAACATTTCATTCTGATGGTACAGAATGAATAACTGTAATATATAAACATAAATGAACACACCTTAAAATTTTGTGGATTATGAAGTTTTCAACTTGGTTAACAAGCCTTAGATTCATAAAATTTAAACTAGACACAAACAAACTATACAAATTATATCGACAGAGTGCATTTTACATATTAGATTTTACTGCACTATTTTTGATCATATAATACATAATGTGCACTCTGTCAATATAATTCTGTATATTGTGTTTAGTATATTTGTATTTTATTTATTTTAATTCATTCAGTTTCACATATTTACACTGTTTGTTACATTTTTGGTATATTTGATATTTGGACAAAGTGTTTGAACATTTATACATTTGAATTTCTCATCATTCGAATATAGAACCACCATAAAAATGTTCCAGAGAGTTGAAAATACCTGACAATGACACCTGTTGATCAAGTTGAAAACATTTGAGAACCCAACATTTATTGCTTTAACAGAGATATAGCATGGTTTTATCATCAGTGACTACCATTTTGTATTCATTTCTTCAAATATATTACCAAATCATAATATGTTGCATTCTGTGCAGTAAAACTAATTCTTAACTAATTGAATTTATAAAATTCCATGGAGTAAACATATTCAAATTTACAAACTTAAATGACTTCATTTAGTAGACTATATAAAGAAGCATATAGCATATATAAAATAAAGGATTAAAAAAAATGAATGATTAAACTAATCTAATCTGAAAATTGTTCTACTAAATTAATTTGAATTTGTTAAATTCAAAAGTTTATTGTATTTTCTTTCTTTGTTAATAAAAATGTCATTATTAAGTGATGACAATTTTGGTTTTACATAATTTCTAAATCAACATTTTAGCATTAACTCAAATTTTATTTTCTCAGATGTAAGGTAACAGAAGGAAAGTATTGTAATTTGTCAAATTTTGACTTTGAGTTTTTGCATTTCTTGACATCTTAACCTTTCTTCAGTGGGTTAGTCAGGTATGGTGCTATCCCTATGTAGTGGAGAATAAACGTGGGAAATTTTTAAAGTATTTTCCCATGCATTTTTTCTCATTACCATTTTGGAAAAGATTTTGTAAACAGTTATGTCTAGTAAAGAAAAGTCTTTTTTTTATTGTTACATAATTCTTTTTTTTTATGTGAATTATTTTTTTGCAGTAGTTTTTGGCGATATCCACAAAAGAATTTTGCAGATATAACCATTGGTCACCAGTGCCACATGATCACCCTTGACGGATATATCTATTGGTCACTGCTGAGTGGTTAAGGTCTACTGATTCCAAATACATCAAAAATACAGGAAAAAATTATGTGTACACCTGTATATTGCTTTATATCTCAAGACTTCATAGACCAATAGTTTTGAAATTTAACAGAAATATTTTTTCATATGGGCATTTATGCTATTAACATTAGAGATAAGCAGGGTAGGGAGTCATATCTTGAATTGGGTCAGACTTAATGAAAATTTTACTAGTTATTGGCAAGCGCCAAATCCAACAGAGGGTGCTGTTTTTGGGCCAAGATGGCTGCTGAAATGGGTAAGGAACCGACCACGTGTTTGTTCAGTGCCTGAGCCGATTCAGTTTCTATCGGTAACGACGTGGTCGGTTCCTTACCTGTTTCGGCAGCCATCTTGGCTCAAAAACAATGCCCTCTGTTGGATTTGGTGCTTGCCAATTGGCATTTATGATTTTTTAAAAACTCACCTTTAAAAAAAAAAAGACAAAAGCTTTATTTTTGGTGTAACTTTTAGAAATTATAATTGAAAATTTTCGGAATTCCTTCCTCATCTCCTTAATCTTCCTGTTCAGCTTTTAAAAGCTAAATCGTACAATAATAATTATTATTACCTATACCACTAAATAAAAATGATAAAATCAAAACTTTTATTTAATCTTGTAAAAATTACAGAAAATGTATAATTAAGATATATTATGAAACCTTATTCCAAAATTGATTCTCTGCTACAGAACAATTTTTTAATTTGTTTATTTTATTTCTTGAATTTTTCTGCCCTCCTGATTTGGAAGCTGATTAATTTTATTATAATCTATATGAGAATTTTGTGGTATTTGTTTATCTTTTTGAAGTTATGGTGTTACAGTTGATTGCAATTTGTACCTGTCTAACATCAATGATTTGGGGCATCACTAGGGTAACGAAATACGCGACACCAATTCACGTCAGCCTTCGTCATCCAATACCCATGGGACGATGGATAATCCTGAAGTGAGTTTATCATCATTCAAATCTGATTGTATTTTCCAATTAATTATAATTAACAAGGCATTGATTTGGTTTGTAATTTACAAATTGCTAGGCTGATGTTTTATGTAACTAGATATAATCAAATAGAAAAATTATCGTAATCTTAATATAAATGAAATTTTAATATTTCATGTCATTTGAAATTATAATTTAATTACAAATTATTTAAATGGAAAAACTGTAATAAAGCATGTCAATAAAAATTAATTTAGAACTATTCAAAGATTTCTCAAGCATTGTTAAATACAGTACTATTCACTAAAATTATTATTATATCATTATTTTTAAATTATTATAAAATGCCTGTAATTAAAAGTAATTTGGAAAATAAGTTAAATTTTTTCAAAATTTATTATTTAACTTTATATGTATTAGAAACTGTGTATGTCAAAAAATTTTAAAACTATATACTTTGATAATTCAAATCTTGGAACATATTCAAAACTAAAATTTAAAAATTTTAAATTTTTCATTTTAATAAATTACCAAATAATATAATTTAAACGTATTATATATTTCATTTTTTCATTTGATTTGCAAGAATATATTGTATTAATTAGTTGTTATTTATTCAAGGTTCTTGTGTACATTTTTGAATTTTCCAGTTTTTGGCACGTTTTATTAACTGTCTTACAGGAATTTTAAGCAAATTTCTATAATAATCATCATAAATATCATACATTTTTGTCTGTTTAAAAACATTTAAAAAGTTCATTTAGAAACATTTGACTAAATCATTCCATAATCAATTATAGACTTGCATTATAAAATTTAAGGTTGAAAATATTATATAAAATGTCATATATAAAATAGTTCAAAATGATAAAATAAATTTTTTTTACAATTATCAATACCATAATGATTACTAATTAATTATATATACATAAAATATACTGTAATTAACCTTTGTATATTTTTATTAAGGTAAATTTTTCAATATTTAAAATATTAATAAAAACTTTCAGCATAAAAATGGGCATTTGAGACCAAACGGACAAGAGATGCATGAAAGACCGAGATCTAGATCACCTTCACCAGTCTGTTCCAGACATCAATCCCCAACTCCACCCAGAACAAGGGGAAGATCCCCAACACCCATTGAAAGATCTCCTTCACCTCGAAGAACCAATCATGAAGTCTCTTTTTCTGATGCAGTCGGTGATGTGGTAGATGTCGCAAAACAAGAAACTTTTATTAAAACTAAAGATAAATGTATGTATATTTATTTTATCATCTTTTTACTTGAAAAATAGTCAAACAATAAAAACTGTAAACCAGACTACAGTTTATACATATTTTTCCATATCCATCTCTCTGCACTGTTGACATTAAGAGTGCCTTTTTAATTATATCCACTTTGTTTTCATCCAGGCCTACAATGGGGACAGCAAGTGGTGAGAGGTGGGGCTCAACAAACCTAAGACAAACCCAAGAATTTTTTGGGAAATTGTTTGCCTGGATTCAATCTTAGTTTCCCAGAGCAGTAGGCCAATGCTTCAACCTCTTCACTTATCTAACCGCTAACACCAAGTTTATATAGTATGTACTTGGTATGGGGCCAATCAGAGGGGGGACAGGAGGGCATCTGCCCTGGGCCTCGCAATATTAGGGGCCTCAACTTGGCAACTCAATATGTTAGACAAAAATATAGGAGAAGGCAAAGCAATGTCACAGCTTGTAGAACAGCCTTAATTTTACAGTTAAATTCCCCAAAAAAATACTTGAGAGAAACTTTTCCAATTTTTAATATAGAAAACACTTTTTTCCTCAACTGTCCATAGCTAAAGCAGATATAGAATTTATGATCAAACTAAAAGTTCCCTAGCTGGACAATAAAGCCTTTTCAGTGTCTGGTACCAGTAATACAATAACAGAATATATAGGCCTTTCTGAAATCCCTTGTAATCCTCTGAAGGCTCTCTGAAATCCTTCTGAATGTAAAAAAATTGCAACCGAAAATGAATCACTCCAGAATTTGAAATAAATCATTGATTAAAAGACCAAAAACCTGATGAAGAATATTTTCATTTTGCCTTTGAAACAAAATTGCCAATTCAATAATAGATGGATTTACATGTCAATTTCAAGCAATTTCTTCAATTTGCAAATTTTTGAAGTTTTATGGAAATTTAATGAAATGATCAAGAGAATATAGTTTCAAAGGCAAAATTTGTTAGACTAGATGTTGCTTTTCAGAGAGATTAGTAAAAAGGCAGTTGGACTAACGTAACCAGTTGTGTAACAAAAGAACAAAGAGTGCACAAAGATTACACACAGTCTTTACTCCCAGAAGGTCAGCGCTAGAAAGGGGAGAGTGAAACGAGGTCACCTTGCCCGAGGGGTCAAGAGTGCCACCAACCTTTTATTACGTCAGAACATTACAAAACATCGCAATCGTTGATTTCAACACACTCCCTCAACGATTGATCGTTAATACAATCCGATATTGCAAGTAAATTTCTTAACCTTATTCGTGTCTAACGGCTTTGTTAACAAATCGGCCGTCATCCGTTCACTCGGACAATAGATTACAGTAATTTCTCCCAAATTCTTTAAATCGCGTACAAAATGGTATTTTGTGTCGATATGTTTTGTGCGCTGTTGTGCTTTTCCTAATTCTAAAAGTCGAATACAACTTTGATTGTCCTCAAATATTTTGATAGGTGCTGTAATCAGTAAATTTATTTCTTCTAGAAGTCGTTTCATCCATACAGTTTCCTGGGTAGCTTCTGCCAAGGCTACATTCTCTGCTTCGGTGGATGAAAGTGCTACACACTGTTGCTTTTTACTAACCCAATTGATAGGACTTCCTTTTAGCAAGAGCAAATATCCTGAGTTTGATTTTCGGTCTATACGATCGCCTCCCCAGTTGGCATCTACATAACGTTTAAGTTCTAATTCTTCATCAATATTTCCTAATTTAAGTTTCTTCTTTTTTGTCGAATTCAGATAACGAAAGATTCTTTTTACTTCCACCCAATCACTTTCTGAAGGTTTTATTACTTTTCTCGCTAATATTGATGTACTTATCGCAATATCTAGACGCGAGTTAGTCACTAGATATAATAAAGATCCAATAGCACTTCTGTATACATTGCTGTTTTTGAATGTATCAGGCATGTCATTTCTTCTTAAGTATCCTGTATCCATAGGAATATTAGACGGTTTCGAATTGGATAAGTTAAATTCCAGCAATTTATTTTTGATATATCTTTCTTGGTGGAGTGAAAATATTCCATTCTCGTCTCTTTCAAATTGTATTCCCAGATAATATTTTAAGTCAGCTAAATTCTTGATTTTAAACATTTCTTTCATTTCGGTCTCAAATTCAGTTAACGTATGCTCGTCTGTGGTCATTGCTATTACATCATCTACATGAATTGCTAAATACAAGCATCTTTTATGGCCTTTGGTATAAAGACAGGGATCGGCTACACTTCTTTTAAATCCTTTAGATAGCAATGTTTCATTGAATTTTTTATTCCATTCATTCGCTCCTTGTTTCAAGCCATATATATTTTTCAATAATTTGCAAACCATGTCTGGTGATCCTTCTTTGTATCCTTCAGGTTGTTTCATGTATACCTCGTGTGATAAGTCTCCATTTAAGTAAGTCGTTTCGATGTCATAATGCTTAACTTTCATGTTCTTAATTCCGGCTATAGTTAGGAGTGTTCGAAGGCTGGCAGTTTTGATCGCGGGGGCATATACATCATCGTAGTCAAAGCCATACTTTTGTGTATCTCTTTTGTGTGTACCCTTGAGCGACTAAACAAGCCTTAAAACGATTAACTTTATTGTTTTCGTCTCTCTTAATTTTGTATACCCATCTGCTTCCTACTGCAGTTTTACCTGGAGGTAATTTCGTAATTTTCCATGTGCCGTTATTTTTCATGGCTGCTATTTCCTTATCCATGGCTTTGCTCCATTCTTTGGAATGTTTTCATATGATTGCTTCACTATATTCTCTCGGTTCTACTCCATCATCAGTCACCGATAAATTTATTGTTTCAATTAACCTTAAAGGAGGTACTGTACTCCCTTAGTAGTTCTTTCCGATCTCCTTAAATGTACGCCAGTTTCTTCCATTTCTTGTTCCCTTGTTTTCGTTTCGTATTCTTCTTTTAAATTCATATTATTAACTATTGTAACTTGTTTTGAATTTTCATTATCATCGTGTATATCAATTTCAGAGTCTCTGTGCTTGACGTTTTCCAGAAAGTGAACATTTCTGCTTATTGTTATCTTATCAGTTTTTGTGTCAACTAATCGATAAGCTTTCGATGCTCTCTCATATCCTACAAAAATTAGTTTTGTGGCTTTAGGTTCTACTTTCTTTTGATCTTTAGGTTTAATAACATAGGCTGAGCATCCGAAAATCCTTACATGCGAGAGGCTTGGCTTCTTTCCATGCGATTTTTCGTATGGAGTTGTTTCACTCACTTTAGTAATTAATCTATTCTGTAGGTAATTTGCATTATTCACCGCTTCTCCCCAGTATTTGTTTGGTAATCCGGCATCAATTAACATGCATCTTGTCATTTCTGTCAGATATCTATTTTTCCTTTCTGCTACTCCATTTTGTTGCGGGGAATAAAGTGCCGTAGTTTCCCATAGAATACCTTCATTTTTAAAGAATGTCTCTAAGTTGGTACTTGAAAATTCACCTCCTCTGCCCGATCTGATTCATTGAGGAGTTCTTCCAAATTTTGTTTGTACATATTTTACATATTCCTTTATTTTATCAGGTACTTCACTTTTATGTTTAAGAAGATATATTTCGGTGTACCTACTGTAATCATCTATCATGGTTAGAATGTATTTGTTGCCTCTCGACGTTGCTGTTTGCATTGGTCTGCATACGTCAGTGTGTATTAATTCAAGTAATTAATAGGTTTTGGTTTCTGATTTCTTTGGAAAACTCTTAGTAGTCATCTTTGCCTCGATGCAATGTTCACAAGGTTTGAATACGCGACATTTCTGAATATTTATTCCAGTAGCCAATTGTTTATTTTGCATTGAAATTATGGAGTTCATGTCACGGTGCACTGATCTTCTATGCCATAAATGGATGCATTCCTTCATATCATTAACTACTGTAAGTGCTTTATGAGATTTATCGAGTTTAAACAAACATGTGTTCACTGTTGCTGTTGCTGCTGGATAGAACAAATGTTCCCTTCAAATTTTATGGTAAACCCTAATCTCGTTAGTCTTCCGACTGAGATTAAATTTCCTTTAAGGTGTGGTACATATAACACGTCTTTCATATATATTCGATGTCATTCGTTATTTTCATCCATGCAGGTTATCATTACACTACCTTTACCTTCAGTGTATAGAGCTTGACCATTGGCTAGTATCACTCTTTCTCTATGTTTACTATTAATGGTTGTGAATAAATGCTTCTCGCAACACATATGTGACAAAGCTCCCGAGTCTACGTACCATTAATAAATCTCGTTTTGTGTTCCTGTCTTAAAACATACATAGGATTCCTTTTCCGGATGTTGTTCATCACTTTCCGCATAAATTTTGTTGATCTGATTTGGATGTTTTTCTTTCCATGTTGCATATTTCCTACATTCTTTCTTTACATGTCCCTGTTTTTTGCAAAAATAACAACTTTTGAGCAAACTCCTCTTCTGAGTTACTGGGTGTGCTCCCACTTTAAATACTTTATCTGCTTCATATTCTTCATTTGATGAGGTCTTTCTTCTTGAGTGTTCCTCATGTAATTTATTACGTACTAACTCCTGGGTTAATTCTTCTTATGGACGAGTCTCTAGTGCTGTTATTAAAGTGTTATAGCTGTCTGGCAAGTTACTAAGTAATAATGCTATCTTTAATTTCTCAGCTAGAGTTTCTCCCAATGCTGTAAGACGATCAATCAATTCCTCCATGTTGGCCAAGTGTATCTCCATGTTGCCGTTTTCTTCTAGTTTTAAATTGCAAATTTTCTTCAATAGATAAACTTTATTTGATAGTGTAGACTTAACATGGTGTTTCCTTATGGCTTCCCAAGTTCCTTTAGCTGTAGTTTCCTTTCTTACTAATGGCAGTTGATTGTCTTCCATCAGGAGGCCTATCATGGCGCGCGCCTTTCCGTTCTTTGTTAACCAAGATGAGTTGAGATCGAGGGTATTTTCTTTTGTATTACGTCCCATAATTTGTCTTTTATCAACAGCAATTCCATCTTATATTTCCAAATG